GGCCCCTGGCTGGCTCGATATTTCGATATTTTGTCAGCGTAGCCCCAGCAGAGTCTTAACCAATTCTGTTTTACTCTCTTCTATTAGGAGACAGTCCTGGTGAAATGCAATCGTCCTGGTCGCCCTTTGATTAATAAGACATATACTTTTGAGAGGTAAGTGCTTTTCGAGATGACATATAAGGCAAAGTTACACATTAAAAATATAAACTGGGGTGGGGGTCGAAAAAAATATAAACTCTGCACTGGGGTTTGATTAATAAAATGTCCAATTTCTCCTACCATTCTGATTAATTGCTGTTATAAATAATTCGTGCAAGTATGTTACTTTTTTAGGTAAATCAAAATTTGTACATATCCAGTTTTTTTTAGTGATATTGTGATGAGGATAGCAACTAATAATGGGACTGTCTGTCAGAGGCCTTCCTCACACCTAGTCCCGGCACACTGCTGAGTGGCAGGGGAGAGAGTCCCTGTACGCTCTGAAGACGTGGAAGGGGAATTTGGAAGGCCCTGCTCAGCCTCTTCCCGTGACCTAAGGATGCTGGGCGGGATCTGGCTCCAGGATCTGCCCCACCTGCTGCTTAGGTGTGAGCTCCTGAGCGCTCACTTCCTCTCTTATCGCAGCAGCCTTTGAGGCTGCACGGGTCACATTTGGAGACAGGCAGAGGGTTCCCCTGGAGTGTTCAGCTGGGTTCTAATGAGCTGCAAGGGAGGAAGAGGAGGCCAGGAAAGCACTGCCGGAAGGAAGTAGGTGGAAACACCCACAGACTCACTCAGGTCTGGGGACCACCTGTGTTTCTGCTGGAGAGGAAACACCTTGTCGTGCATGAGCCGTTGGGTGGAGCGTATACAGAAGGGGCTTATCTCAGTAGTGAGAAAGATTTAGCCACGGAATGAAAGCCGCTGGTGCTGCCCAGAAAAAGTTAAACACAAGCCTCAAAAGGATCAAGTTGTTTCCACGTAACTACCTGCATCCCAGAGCAAAGCTCGAGAAAAATGACAGCAACACAAAAATATTGCTACTCTGTAAAGAATAAGGGGAGATGTTTGTCTTCAGAGATTGCGGGCCTTGTTCCAGGAAGCAGGAAAATAGGACCCGTAACAAGGAGGAAGTCCAGTCAACAGGGATAGAGGCGCAGACGACACAGGAGATAGAATTCGTAAAGAAGGAGGTTACAACAGATATTACGAATGTGTATATTCAAGGAAGTAGAGAAAATGTGAACACATTGAGGAGAAACATAGAAAACGAGAAAAACTCCAAATGAAACCACTAGCGATGAAAAAATATCATATAGGAGATGAAAAATATACTGCTGGGATGCAGAAGGACAGACTGGTGAACGTGGAGCATAGTGGTAGAAACTGTGTAAAGAGGAGCATAGAAAAAAAAAAGGTGAGCAGAGTGAGTTCTGTGCACGGACGGTGGTGGTGGCCGCACAACAGTGTGGACGTGCACTTAAAAATGGCTAAGATGCTACATCTGATGGTATGTGCATTTTTAAAAAAAGTTAGCAGAGCATCCAGGAGTTGTGGGACAATTTCAAGAAGCCTAATGTATATGTAACTGGAGTCCCAAAAGGAGAAGGGAGTGGGGACTGGAAAAATATTTGATGAANAGAGAAAATGTGAACACATTGAGGAGAAACATAGAAAACGAGAAAAACTCCAAATGAAACCACTAGCGATGAAAAAATATCATATAGGAGATGAAAAATATACTGCTGGGATGCAGAAGGACAGACTGGTGAACGTGGAGCATGGTGGTAGAAACTGTAAAGAGGAGCATAGAAAAAAAAAAGGTGAGCAGAGTGAGTTCTGTGCACGGACGGTGGTGGCGGCCGCACAACAGTGTAGACGTGCACTTAAAAATGGCTAAGATGCTACATCTGATGGTATGTGCATTTTTTAAAAAAGTTAGCAGAGCATCCAGGAGTTGTGGGACAATTTCAAGAAGCCTAAGGTATATGTAACTGGAGTCCCAAAAGGAGAAGGGAGTGGGGACTGGAAAAATATTTGATGAAATAGTGGTCAAAATTTTTCTAAGTTTGGTAGAACCTGTAAACCCACAGATCCAAGAAGCTCCAGGAATCCCAAGCATAGGAAACCTGGGGGTGGGGGGCCTCCATCAAGGCACATCACAATCAAGTTGCTTAAAGCCAGGGATAAAGCAACCACAGTCAAAAGACACGTTCACAGAAAGTCAGAGGCAGAGGAGAGGTTGAGCCAGGAAGGGCTCAGCGACAACTGAAGTCTGGGTAGCACTGGGGACTTGACCGGGTATTTTTAGGCAAATTATGTTCCTCAGTCTTGGTGGGAACACCTGAGGGGTCCTGCAGGTGAAGGACGTTGGCTCAGTCAAGTTCAATGGCTTCTGTTTAGCTCGTCAGTGGTAGACTAGAGAATAAGGTCAAGGCTTTGTACTGCAGCAGGCTGCCCTTCGGATCGACGGTGGAGAGTGGACAGGGCCCCACAGACGGGGAAGCTCCATCAGTGACCCTCTGAGCCGTGTTTTGGGGAAGCGGGAGATGGCACAGCAGCACTGTTAGTTCAGACGTGTGTATTCTCCCTCAGAAAGCTCTGCCTCGGTGTTACTACCAAGGCTGCCAGATTACAGAAGAACACAGCCAGGTTCTCTTCCAGTGCGTGCAGGGTTTGCTTTTTCACACTAAACTTGTGATGCATTTGGTATGCATCCTAGCATATTTTATAAAGAATGGATCCAATTTTATCTTTTCCATATATTTATCCACTTATCTCGACACCACTTATTAAAATAAATCTTTTCCCCACTAACTTGAGATGCCCCCTTTATCATAGAGTGCATTACCACATGCAATTATACCTATTTCTATATTTTCCCTTTTATTTCTTTATTCTATTTGTATATTCATGCACCAAGGCCAAGCTGTCTTAAATATAGAGTCGGTATAGTACGTTCTAGTGTCTGAAATAGGCCCTGCCCCATTTATTCCTCTACCCCGCACCCACCATCAGGGGCTTCCTTCCCGTTCTCTCTTCTGGGTGATGGACGTGCTGGAGTCCTTTAATATTCCTTCTACTTTGGTAGTATGGTGTGTTGTTTTTTGTTTTTTTGTTTAGTGAAAAGTTAAAAAAAAA